GTCTCTGTACTATTCATTTAGACACTTTCTTTCACTGTCTTATATTATTAGTTAATATTTAAGTGGACATATTTTATTCCTACAAAGAAACTCTTAAAAATTGTCGTTTTATTCTTTTTTATTGCTCCCTTAAAGCTTATCTTAGATCATTCATGTAATTGGGGCCCAATGCATTTTCTATTTTCTTTTGGCTACATTTTTCTATTTCCACATGCTATTATTGCTCAAAATAGCTTATCTCTAATTGAAACAGCATCACCAGAGTTAGCCAAAAAAAAAAAAAAAAAAAACGGGTCCCAGTTACATTTAAATTTCAGGTAAATAATTTTTTTAGTATTAGTATGTCCTATATATTGCATGGGACATACTTATACTAAAAATATGATTCATTGTTTATCTGAAATTCAAATGTAACTGGGCATCCTATATTTTACGTGGAAACTCTAAATTGAAAGTTTATTTTACTTTAATTTTGCCCTCCAGATGAAAAAGGTAGATAAATTGGTAGATATCTTCCTTGAATATGTCAAATATTTGGATCTTGATGAATTATTTTATTCACTTAATTAACTAAGACTTCTTTTGGTGCCTGCTATATCCTAAATTGAACTCTGATTCTGTCTTGGTCTGCTATTCTTTCTTGTTCTTTTTTGCGACGCACAGTCCCTTTGGTCTGTAGGTTCTATACTTTTGTCGTTTTTAGCTTTTACCCATCCTTGATCCAGTTGGCCAAGTCCTAGTCAATCTCTCTCTCTCTTAATCTTTCACCTTACTTTCTCCATTCTTATTTTTCCCAGCATCCCCTTCTTCCTTCCATCCCTGTAAGTGGGTTCTTTCTCATCTAACACAAATACCTCAAAAGTCTTCAACAGCCATAGAGAACTTGCCTTGATCTTGTAGTGCTCACATGCTCTAGCCTATCATTTTGCTATTGTATTTCTTGAAAAAATAGTCTGGACTTGCTATCTCAAACTTTTCACTCTCACTCATTTCTTGACTCGTTTCTGTCTTTTGAAGTTACGGAAGTCTGTCAAGAAATTACCGAAAATCTTCTTATTACAAAAAAAAAAATCAGTGGATTTTGCTCAGTCTTCATTCCTCATCATCTTCTTTGTAACATTTGACCCTCTCAACTCTCTCCTACATATTACCATTTCCTCCTCCCTTAATGTTCAACATTCTCACTGTACTTCTCCTTTTACCCACACCCTCATGACATTTCCATAGTCTTTTGTGGTATCTTCACTTCATTGTGGGTACTATAGATGTTTTACACTCTTTTCTTTCAGCACATGTTCCCTTTGTAGTTTTATTAAATCTTAGTACTCCAGTGATCAGCTCTTTGCAGCTGACTCCCATGTCAATATCTCCAAACTTGACATCTCTTCCAGATCCAGGTCTCCATACTCAGTAGACATCTCTCTGAGCATTTCCCCACTCATAATACTGATGATCTCCTTGAGGGGAGCAACAATACACTTGCAATATAAGGTTATAAATATCTTGAGAAATGGAGATAATGTGCTATGAGAGTGCTGAAAGACAGAGAAGACTTCTGCGATTATGTTCTTGTTTGTCTTGCTCTTAAAGTTCTGGTTTAAGCGTTTAAATACTGTGTGTGAAATTTTGCATTGGAAATAAAGATCAAAGCCATCGAGGAGTGAAAATCACCTATAAGGAGTAAAGGACAGAAGCAGTGAGGTAAAAGTCTCCTGAATTAAGCTCAGAGGAGACAATGGTGTTGTGAAAGAGGGGATAGCAGTGGTTATAGGTGAGATGTGGTCTGATGTTGGTTGTATTTTCAGATAAAGTCTTTGCCATAATGTTACTTGTGAGAAAAGAGGAATTAACAGTGAACTCAAGGTTTTCTGTTCTTAGGATCTGGAAGGATGAAATTGCTCTTAATAGAGATGGGCAAGATCATAGAGGGAGCAGGTTTAAGAGGGGTCAGGAGATAACTTCAAACATGTTAAATTTAAAATGCCCATGAGGATTCAAGTAGAGATATAGAGTAGTTTACTAAGAAGTAGTTTTGCTGTTACTGTTTTTAGTGCCATCAAGTGGATTCTGTGTTTCAGTAAAACTTTATCTACAAAAACAGAAGGTGAGCTGAATTTGGCAAATAGGATAGAGTTTGCTCAGTCATGGATTAAACTGTTCATGGTAATTTTAGATAACTTCTAATAAGTAATAGATAGATAGATAACTTTTAATAAGACAGAGTTATTTTTAAAGCAGTGTTGTCTCAGACTGAGCCAGGATTCTGGAGAAGTGACTCCGGGGCTGCCTTGAGGTGGGCAGGGGTGTTGAGAGAGAGAGGCTCAATGCCTTCTAACTATATAGGGCAGAATAGCTCAGTTTTAAATATTGGGGTTCTGGGTAAATTTCACTTGAAAAAGATGTTTCACTGATAATTAAAATTTTAAAACCATTGGATTATAGCAAGTGCTGACTTGAATCAGTGCAGTTTCAATTGTTTTTGTGGTCCCTTTCCATAGGCAAAGAAAAAAGGACCTCTGAAGCAAAAAATATAATTTTCACCCCAAAGTATCTGTTTCATAGATAACAAAAGGAGATATACCGGAGTAAAAGTTATATAAATTGGTATCTGTGATGATGAAATTATCAGCTAATTATCTAACACTCTACTTGGCATGTTTACATATTCATACCTTTAATAGATAAGTCATGCTTTGTCTTAATGTTTAGTTTGTTCCTAATATGGATCCTGCCTGAAGTTTTATGGAGTTAATCTTCATTGATATCAGCTTATATTGAATAGTAACAATGAAATAACGCAAGTAATGTAGATGCCCTTCAGCGATATTTAAATAGAATTATTTATTAGCTGGAGTTTAAGTTTTAAGGGAGTGGGAAACTTTATGTATCAAGATATAAATACTGAAACATATAGATGCTGCCTAAAGTTTTTATACTGAAGCCCTTAGTGAAAGATGGTGTTTGGAGGTTAAATTTTCTGTACAATGATGCAAAGAATCATTTGAGGCTTAGAAAATAGTGATATTGGCATTTTAAGATGATGTAAGCAAGAAAACACGTCTGTCATTTCATGTACATCTGTATAGTTTTCACCTCAACCTGAATCTCTGTAAGAAAATCAATAAATCTACCAGTTGGGATTTTTTTCGTGAGCTTACATCTTTGGGGAACTCTAGTTCTAAGGAAGGATTCTGCTGATATTAAAGTGCTGTAAAATTATGGTAAATTTTTGCTGATTTTACAACAAAGAAATCTGTTACCTATTATGACCTCTAAACTTTAAATGGTTTCTGCTGAAAACATCCATATGCAGAAATCTCAAAAACAAAATGAGACATGATTAATCACCTCTCAGAAGCAGAGTCTGATAAAAGAATAATTATGCAATTCAGCTGTTTATAAGTTGAAACTAATGGATAAAAATATTTCAGGGAAAGGTCTAGAGTTTATGTTTTTATTGACTTATGTAAGCACTTTACCTTTTGAGCTCTATAAAAATATGAACTCTTTCTGGACAGAGATTCTTCTTTTATGTGTGTGATCGTCTTTTATGATTAGATCGCCCATGTCAAGAGAATTCCTAGAATAGTAAAGGATATTGTTAATGTGTTTGGTGTGAGGTAGAACTCTTGCCTTCAAAAGACAGGAGGAATTTATCTTTCCATATTTATTTGCAAGGTATTCTCAAATAACTCTTCTCTTAGCACATAACATACTCATTAGCCCTGGACCCAAGAGGAAGTCCAGGATCATGGTGTTGGCAGATTCAGTGTCTGTTGAGAAACCATTTCCTGGTTTATAGACAGCCTTCTCATTGTGTCCTCCTATGGTGGAAGGGACAAGGAAGCTCTCTGGGGTCTTTTTATAAGGGCACTAATCCCATTCATGAAGGTTCCACCCTTATGACATAATCACCTCCCAAAGGCCCCACCTCCAAATACCGTCACATGTGATTTTCAACATATGAATCTTAGGGGAGCCCAAATATTCAGTCAATAGCACTCCATTCGTGTTGCTCAGTAATTAGTTGCAAGAGGGCATACCATTCCAGATGAGGTAGGTCTTATGCCGCTGAAGGCATTTGCCTAGAGGAGGCAGTTGTGAGCTGATAGGAGCTAAAACTCAAAGCAGCTTTGGGATGAGTGCACTAGCCTTATCCACTATGCTAGCAAAAGAATTTTCCTGCGTATTAGAAGCAGAAAATAGGAACAGGAGTGAGCTGCTGTCAAAAAGTACAGCACTGACAACATGACAGCAATTCATGAGATAGAAGAAAATTTGAAAATTGACTTATGAGCTTGAGGCCATGCAACATAGGGATGGATATCCCACACACAACCCCACAGCCCATGACAACACATTCCAGTAGTGGATGCTCATGACGTTGACCTGGAGTCAACAGGAAAAAAGCTATATTTTATTAGGATATGCACTTGAAAAAACAGGCACTGTCAACATGTTTATAGTTTAATTTCTTAAATCACCAATCTCTAATTATTTAGAAAAGAAATAGCTCATTTGTGAAAGTGCTGGATAAAGTAGTAGTTACCTCATATAATTTTTAGAGGTCATGGACCATAGGGCCATAGACTTGAAGCACAAGGAGCTTTGCACTGAAAAATAAGTACTTTTCGAACAACAGAGGTGTTTCAGAGTCTCAGATTTTGAGACTTGGGATATTATTGTGTCTCAGTTTACTCTCAGGAAGGTTGACAGGAAAGAAGGGCTTTGTGGTTTGTTTCTGTTGAACAAATGGGTGATTGTAGGCTGAGCTCAAACTAGGTAACAGATTGCATCATACTCATTGTACTTTCAATTGCCAGCCTCCTGGCCCCCTCACGTATTATTCCATGAACACTTCATCAGGTTTCACCCTCCAATGGCTACCTTCAGACTGTTTTATAGAAATTTAGCATAATCCCTATATAGACCATCAAGTATCAAAAGCTGCTTTTGATGTGCTTTTTCTCTAGAAAAATTTTAATGTTTTTTTTCTTCAGTACCATAATGCTACCTTTGACTGGGCGTTTCTGTCGACGAAGCAGTGTTTGAAATCTGGAGGCAAGCTCATGGGGAACAACTGTAAATTTGTTCCTGATATCACACTCATGTCTTTCATCCTCTTCTTGGGCACCTACACCTCTTCTATGGCTCTGAAAAAATTCAAAACTAGTCGTTATTTCCCAACCACAGTAAGTACCTGAGCTTTAAATAATTTTTATTGAATTTATACTATATCAACAGTGATACAATTTTACAAATTGAAAAAGGAACTTATAATTTAACCTTTCCAATACAGTTTTGTGCATTTAAAAAATTGCTTTCCAGTCTTTGTCCATGTGCATATGTATTTTTGACATAATTGTAGTCTAGCTTTGAAAAACTTTCCAAAGATTTTGCTTACATAATTCTGTCATAATTTTTACTGTACTGAAAGGAAAAAGTGGGATGTATTCTAGTATCTAAAAATGAGTGAGTAAGAAAAAGACCTTTTAAATCCATAGTTTTTAAGTATATGAACAAAACCTCTTCATATTAATCAGGAATTTTGATGTAGAATTTCTTGTTCATTAGTTCTATGTGTGAGTAATTTAGTAGTTGAATTATGGGCTGTGGGAGTAAACTTAAACTGTGTTGTTACACAAGTATTGGTATAAGATATGAGTGTCTTCGGAGCCAAACTTGCCTTCCCATAATGATGAATGCTATAGTACGGAAAAACAGATAATCGAGCTGGGTGGGGCAGACATCCTGTCTCCCATTAATATGCTTGGGTGAACTTAAAGTCAAAACTGTGGTTCATGGAGAGACTACAAGATAAGACCAACATTTGGTTAACAGCATTTTGTTTTTTTACCTGCAGAATGAAACTAAGATAATCCTTTGCTTTACAGTTCAGTTCTCAGTGTTTAGGATGTCAGTATTTCTTAGGTAATCTCAATTATACCTGATTTTTATCAATGAACTGCTCTATACAGCTGGAGTCTCATGAAATATCTCTCTTGTGTTTTGTGTAGAAGGAATGGAAAAACTTCAGAAGACATGAGATTCAATTGATGAAATTCCTTTTTTTGATTCCTAGGAAATGAAACTTAAAATTAATATATTCACTTTCACTTAGGAAATTTTTTGATTTTTCTGATTCTTCTTATAAAATTGAAAATAAAGGGAAAGGTTTATAATTGCCTTAGTCTGTTCTGCTATGGTAAAATACCATAGAGTAGGGGGCTTATAAACAACGGAAATTTATTTCTGACAGTCTGGAGGCTGGGCAGGCCAAGATCAGGCACCAGCATGTTGGGTGAGGGGCTTCTTCCTGGTTCATACCAGGACCTTTGCACTGTGTCCTCATGTGGTAGAGGAGCTAGGGATCTCTGTGGGGTCTCTTTTATAAAAACACCAATCCCATTCATGAAGTCTCCATCCTCATGGCCTAAGCTCCTTCTTAAGGCCCCACTTCCTAATACCATCATCTTTGGGGTTAGGATTTCAACATATGGATTTTGGGGGAATACAGCATAGCATTAATGAATTGTCCCAAACTAGCTGACCCAAGGAATGACAGATTTCCACAAAGTGTAATGTAGAAAGAAGTGTTCAACTTAGTCTGCCTAAATACACATTGCAAACTAGTGGTCCACAGGCAGAATTCAGCCCCCAGCCATTCTTTGTTTAGCCCACAGTTTGTAAACCCACACACACACGCACACGCACACACACATACACTTGAGGCCTTAGGTGGAACCTGTACTTTGCAGGAAGTTGTTGTCCTCACAATTCTCTATTTTCTAAGACTTGAGTGCTTCACACATTCACATTAACTGCCTGTCCCTAAAGACATTCGAGCGTGTAACACCAGTTCACACCTGGGGAAATGTGCTTTACTTGATCTGCCTCCTCAAGGTATGAGTTTTGTGTAGAACAGATTCCTGGGTAAACATCTTTGAGGATGATTTCTTCTCTACTGAATTTTTTCCTTCTTCATTATTAATTCATTGAGGTTTTTTTTTTCGGCTCACACTTTAGGAATCATTACCCTTTTTATGCCAATTTAATCTGTCTGGTATTATTTAGGCATAGTAGGTGGAAAAGTAGAAAACTTGTGAAATACTTGTAAATCACAATTTGTAAAATAAACTTGTTTCAACCTTAAAACGGACAGAGACCATTTAAGTGTTTATGTAGACATCACCTATTCCTTCCAGCAATAATTCCCAACTTGATTATAGCTCTTCAGACTTAAAGAAATCTTCCTCTCATAGGAGCCCAAGCAGATAATTTCTCAGCCATTGATAAATGCTGCTGAGAAAGTCATGAGTGTGTGAAAATAAAATAATGATAGCATTCTAATTATAATTCCCGTTAGAAAGCTTCTCAGCATAGTTTAGAATTGTATACACCAAATCACAAAATAAACAGGGGAGAGAAAATGTATGTGTTTTCCAAGGAACAATGCTTAAGTGTGTAGTCATTCAGACTGTTGTCTCCCCTTGCATCCTTATTCACTTCACATTTACAGCTGAATCATAACAATACACATAAATTCATACATACATACATGAATAATAACTTCTTTTATCTCTCTCATTTGCCAAAGTATGTTTTCATTTAAGCTGTCATTTAGAAGGATGGTCTCTATAGGTAGAAGCAGATAGGTTTATAGATTCTTATACTTACATATTATATTATATAATTAACACTTGTATGCTTAAACACGATAAATTAGACAATCCTTGATTGCTGTGACAATAATCAGGCCTATTACTAACTTCCTCACTCACACCAACAATTCACATGAAACCTCTAAAAACTCAAAATGTGAATACTGGATGATAGTGCCCTTGTCAAACAAAATTTTCTTTTTTTTGATAAGGAAGATTCGTCCTGAGCTAACATCTAATGCCAATCTTCCTCTTTTTGCTTGAGGAAGATTGTTGCTGAGCTAACATCTGTGCCAGTCTTCCTCTATTTTGTATGTAGAATGCTTCCATAACATGGCTTGATGAGCGGTGTGTAAGTCCACGCCTGGAAGCTGAACCCGGAAACCCCAGGCCGCTGAAGTGGAGTGAACAAACTTAACCACTATGCCACTGGGCCAGCCCAAAATATCCTGTTTTTTCGCCTTGCACAGTCATTTCTCTTTTGTATTTTCATTTCTAAACATTTGGATGAGTTGTTAGTCAATTAAGACTGTAAGCTGCTGGATAACAGTTATACTTCTATTTTATTCCTCACATCCATTAGCATGGGGTTGGCTGCAGACTAGATACCCAATACTTGTTGTCTAGTGCAAAGCAGTCCAGTAGAGATAAATGCTGCATTTTGTGGTAAGAGCACAGATGTTGGAACTCAGGAGCTGTAGATCCTAGTGCCAGCATTGCCATTAACTAACAGTGTGCCCTTTGATGGCTAACTGTGGACTTTAGTTACCGCCCTCATTAAGGGAGGGCTCAACCAGATGACAATTAACATCCTTTTAAGCTCTAGTGTTCTATAAGTTTAAAGAGAGTTTTCTGACTCCATCTCTTAAATAAATTCTCTATGTTAAACTATTGCTTATAGCAATGATCAGGACTTACAAATTTCCAAAAATTAATTATTATCTCCATCTTTATGCTAGGTCTGCTTTTGCAGTTGCTGCCAACCTCTCTCTGTGGATTATCCACAGTTGTCATATAGCAAATTCAAAATGTGGTTTTTCTTTCCACAATTTAACTTCCTCATCTGCCTGTATTCCTTCTGTCAGCTAATAATATCACATATCCTCTTAGCCACCCAAGATCAAAATTTTAGAATTACATTTGGTCTATCAGGCAGGGTCCCAGCAGGAAGCAAATGATATACTCAAATTAGGATGATTTGCGGGGTTCAATAAAGGTTTAGGGAAACCACAAAGGAGAGTGCAGTGTTCAGTGCTAGGAACAGTGGGGTTGTTACTATCCCAGACCCAAAGGAAAGGAGTGAATGCTGGAACCTAGAAGAAAAGAGAAGGATAGAGACAGCTGTCTCGAGAGACACTGTGACCTTGGGTTGAAGGATGTAGCCAGCCTGAAGCAACCTCCCAGGGGTACAGCTCCAGGAATCAATTCTCTGATCTCACGCTCTTCCCTCTAATAGCCTGCCCAGGCTGCTCCAGGCTAAACCCAGCTGGAACCCAGAGAGCAAGGGAGCCCGCTGTAAACTACACAGGTCAGCCTGCTAAGGCAGAGAGCAAGGTGGAAAGGAGTGGAAGATGGATCTGGTGTGATAAAAGAGGAGATCCATCGCATTTGCCTCTCCAAGTTTTCTTTGTCATATTAAACTTGTCACAGTCCCCTTGATTATCCTGCTATAATCTCTCTCGCTCACACTTACGTTTCTGTTCTTCTAGTTCAGTCCGTTGTTACCTTTTCCTAGACCAGGTCAGTTTACCCACTCTTGGCCTCCCTTATGAAGCCACTAGCAATCCATCAGTATGAGCACTTAAGTTTGCCTTTGCTAGCCTATCAGGGATTTAATTTGTCTATCAGGCACTTCCAGAGAGCCCTAATACTCAGTGGAACATGGCTGGAGTACCAGTCCTCCACTGACTGTCTCCTTCGTGCTCTGCATTCTTTTTAGAGGGGTGCATTAATCTGTTATCCCACACAGTTACTGGTCTGTTACATTAGCCTCAAGTCTTTAGTCAAAGTCTTTCGGCATCAAAGCTTCCTATAGGAGCATCACAGCATCATCTGTGATCTTCTGTGGCAGATGGCTCAGGGCATTAACATAAAATGTTCTTCCAGAGTCCCATACTAGCAAGTGATGCCATCACTGTGTATGTGGTAGCAAAATGAAAGCACAAGTGTAAAGATAAAACAGGATTGTGATTAGTAGAACTCATAAAGCTATAGAGCCCTCTCAATTAGACAAAATTATTGGTACTTTAATATAGTCAAATTTAGTGTGGCCGGCTGATGTATGTAATTGGCGTGAAAATACCTTTCTTAAGGAACTGTGTAATTTCCTGTTTTCCTCCTCTTAGAATAAGTAGCAATTCTAACCCTCATGTGAACTGAAGTGATGGTAGGATTCTTTTGAAATATGCCTCCTGGTTGTTATTGTCATTTAAATGAATAAAATCATTAAATTCCAGGTGACATAAACAGCTATGACACCTTCTACACTTTCTTCAGGTGACATTTGAGCAGAATGTTCCTTGAAATCCTTC